ATTTCAAGCTGCACGACAGACATGGCCAATGTACACATCTTTGTCAGGTTTGCCTAGCTGTTTATGCCTCTTAATACAACTGGTTCCACAGCGAGGCGTATTTATTGTGTAGAGGTGACTGGTTCGATTACCACCACGGTAACTATAGCTTTCAAGTTTTATGTTGTCTGTTGTGTTTTTCTTTCTGTCTACTTTCTATAAGTGCTAATTAAAGCATTGTCTGTTTGTTCAAAATATATTTAATAATAAAACTAAGGAGGCAGGGAGAGACAGAGGAAACAAGTGAGAAAGATGGAGAGGACCACATATTCACAACACAGAGAGGGGAAAAAATGATGGGGGGGGGGGGTGAATAAAGTAAAAGACAGAGATAAATAATGCAAATACAACGAGAAAGAAGCAAGAGAAAGCTGGGAGGGGGTGGTAAAAGTTGAAGATTATCAAGGCATCGCTGGCTTCCTTAACTGTTCTGCCTGAAGAGCGAGCAGTAAATGCCCATGCACTCTTATGTCCTCGTATAACAGACCCGTCTTTGAAGATCATCACATTTGTCTTATCTGACTGGTCACTGATAAGCGCGCATACCTCGGCATCGACAGCAGCTGGATTCTGCTCCCGACAACTCCTATCGCGCGTCACGACACAGGAGAATGTCAGATTAGGCGCTTTAGACTCTGGTATCCACTCCTCACCTGGATGGATGTCTGTAAGGATGCAAACCTGCATGATGTCATCCTCTGCTCTAACCTGTACAAGGTCGAGGTCAGAGCTATGACCTTACTTGTAAGAAGACTATTGACTCCTTGCCTCTCAGACAAATGCACTCCGTCTTCAATGGAACCCCCAATCAGTCGACTCTTACGACATGTTTGTTACTGAGGCAGTGGGTCTATTCTTGTTTTCACACCCCCACGGGGACCCCAGTTGTATTAAAGTATTTATAAAGTATCGCTCCTGCATAACCTCAGCTTTATTTCAAACTAAGTCCCTATATCTTCCATATATTGTGAATCATAGCAGATTTTCAGTTTGGTTTGTTAATTTTTTTATGTTGCATTCGTTTCAGAATCTCCCTCTGTTGAAACTTTACTTCCGATGTATATATTCTGCAACTTCTTCTATCGCTTCATCTTTTACGAATACTGGATTTTTTGGGGTGTGGGGGAGAGGGGTGGGGGGGGGGGGGAAGGGGGGGGATTATTTATGATTTTACACGCGGCAGGGATGTCGTTGCTGAGAATAATACAAAGAATATCGTGGAAGGATAGAAAAACAAAAGAAGCAGTTCTCGTCGAGCAGATGAACGTCTGAAACTCATTAAAACAGTTAGTTGTAGACAATCAATGTTTGTGGACATGATCAGGAGGGAAGGACTCGGGAACTTGGTAACAACTGGCAAGGTTGATGGGAAAATAGAAGAAAGGTAGGCAACTAAAATATACACCTGGATGGCCTGGTCGGATGAAGAGGGCAAGAGGGGAAAAAAAACATTGAACTAATCCGTGATTCTGGTGATCGTTTAAGATGGCAAAACGTGACAGCCTACGCTTACCGGCAGGGCACATGATGACCGTGATTATTATTTCTCATTGCTGCTGGTTAGAGGTTAGAAAATCTGACATACAAAGCTGGACGGTTGTTTCCGAAAGGCGAGCAATTTTGAGCGGCCTGTCTGCAAAATTACATGGACCGGCACTAGTCCACAGACCTTAGGTTGAATTGCATAGCAATTACCGCGAACTCATATAAGCAGTACTAACACAGCTCTCTTTAAAGTCCACATTGCATAATGTATGTATGTAAGTTGTACCCCACCAGAACATCAAACAAGCGATAATCACCCTGTTACACAAAGTGCCACCATGCGGATGAGGATCACCCGCGGAGATGTCCCGGAAACCCCGTTCAGCCGTTAGGCCATATTTCAGGCCCGGCTATATTTAGGGCCCCTGGCTAACTTTAAAATAAATAAAAATTGCATCCCACAAGGGGATGACGAGGTGTACTCAACATTGCATAATCAAAACTTACGGGTTATAAATAAGTCCTTCTTGGCGTCCCCTGCAGCAAACAAGGTCATGGCTCTGACCTCGACCTTGTACAGGGAACCTCCCAGTAAGGAGTTGAAGACATGGCTCAGGTGGGCTCCGACGGCTGTTACGTTGTGTTCTTGATTGAAGTTAGTGCCAATGCTGGCCAGAGATATCCTGTAGTATGCCTGCACTGAGCTGACTGGGGCCGACCAGGTGATGTTCAAACTCCGGACACCAGCGACTGCTGCTAGGTCGGTAACCAAACCTGGAGCTAAACAGCAAATTGAAAACATAATTAAGTAAATTATATAATGTTATCACAATTGACGTTTCTACACACTGGGCATCCCCATTCGTGCTCAGTCCTCCGATGTAGTAGCATCTCCAAGGTACTTCTACTGACCGATCTCATGAGGAGTTGGTTATAATGTTTACTATCTTTGCCTCGAAGACGGCATAGACGTGCTTCACCAAGTTCAACTCCTCTGTCACGCAGTCGTGTTTGTCTCAAGAGATTATTTATTATCTCCCAACCTAATCCGCACAGGGTTGGTGATATCAGCTCTGTCCATGCTTCCTCCCGTTTGCATTAGTGTATTACTTGCCAGCTGGTCAGCTCTTTCATTACAATTTAGTAAATTAGACAATAAGTGGGGAAAAACGCTGCAAGCAGGCAGTCTGTAAAAATCAACAAACATTATCATTTAAAACAAACAACAACATAAGTTTAAGCAGAAAATTGAATCCTTTCCACTGAAATACACAAATCACTGTTAAAGTGTACATCTCGCAACTAAAAATTCAAAATTAGCCACGTGATTATCACAGAAGCTGCAAATTTACACATGTGTTATAGTTGTCATACAACAAATAGGTAAAAGAAAACAAGATGCTACAAACAATTACAGTTGTTCAACAACAAAAGGTAATCGGAAACAAGATGCTACAAACAATTTCACTTGAAAAGGTAATAGAGAACAAGATCCTGGAAACAATTACAATTGTGAAAACAACAAAAGATAACAGAAAACAAGATGCTACAAACAATCAAACACGTCAGAACAGAAACACTGATGCACCTGTTGAAGCTTTTGCTGCTGCAGGCAGGCTGGTGTAGTTATGGCTAACTGATGATACATATACAGTAATGACTTGACCTGCTGGAGGCGCAGGAGTAAAGCTACACGGGGAACTGCTACAGGTTATCGAAATCAGTGAGCTGGAACTTTCCAGTGAATACGCCACTTGAAAGAAATCCTAGAAATAATCAAAATGAGATGTGATGTAAACATTGAATCAGTGCTACGTGTGCGGTCAATAATTATTTAATTAATCTATGTCTGTGAAATAAATTCCTCATGTTGCATCTGGGGCTTTATTGAGGTGGGGGTGGGGTGGGGGTGGGGTGCATCAAAAAAGAGGGGGGGGGGGAATACCCTCTGCCCCTTAAAAGCATGTCATAAAAGGCGAAGAATTGGGGGGGGGGGGGGGGGTCTTCTTTAAAGGCGGGGTACATCTGCCTGAGAGACTAGGAACAAACAATGTGCACACAAATAAGCCAGATCTGTAAAACTGATGAGCACACAAAACTCAAGTTCTGGAACAAAACTGAAGTCTATAATTGATTGAACAACCAAGATCCCCCCCCCCCCCCCCCCATCCCGAGAATACAGCAAGAGACAGCCAAGAAGAGGAAGAACAGTTTCTGATAAACAATGCATCTGTACTGGTTCTGTTGGGGGTGGTGGGGGGATGGGGTTGCAGTCTATTAATTTATGTATGCTACCTAATGAATCGCGCGCGTCCGTGGCTTAGGCGTTGCGAGTCCAACTTGTAATACCAACGTACCGCGATCGAAACCCACTGCTGGCTGTGTGGATTTGTGTTATGGTATGGGGCGTCGCAGGTCGACCCAGCCTAAAATGGGTCCCAGAATGTATTTCCTGGGGGGAAGGAAAGACGGCCGGCGTAATGCTGACATATTACCCACTCACTGCCGATTAGTCTGTAAAAATAGGTGCGCTTTTCCCATATGCCCGATGCACTTAAAGGCGTGAAAAGGGATACTTACTTAATGAATCAAAACTAGCTGTGTGATAAACAGTTAATTAAGTTCCTTTTCCGTGCGATTAAAAGTTATTAATGTGTGTGTGAGTGTGTGTGCGTGTATGTGTGTGTGTATGCGTGTGTGTGTGTGTGTGTGTGTGTGTGTGGGGGGGGGGGGGGTGGTTTCCCACTAAGCAATGCTGGCTGTAAAGTATACAATAAATGTAACCAGGAAAAAAATACATCTCAATAACGAAGTTTGTTGGCTATACTGCTCTAGATGCTGGCTGATTTTGTTCCATTCTGACCAGATGACTGAACCATTTGATTCTTTGATATTCTATGAAATTATTCATTCAGGCACTGGGCCTGCTATTGTTCCTAGTTAACCCAGCTAGTTTACACACACACGTACATTTAGCGTATGCAGCACATTACATTCACACCTGTATAGCCACGATCGTCACTGCATAGACCCGACACTTTTCCTCATTCATTAAAGTTAAAGTCGGGAGATGTGAACCAGCCTCATTGCACACGGTTATAAACCGTAAGGTTTCTGCCACCAGCTTATAAGAAACTGTCCACCTGTGTTGCAGTCCGCACGCAACTCCGTAGCTATAGCGACGTTCCTCCATTTACCCTAGAGTGTTAACTCTGGTACCCATTACCTAAAGGCTAGGTGAACCCCTAGAACCGCCCGGCTTCGAACACCGGCCGTGGGCTGCAGCGAGTTGCAGCTGGATTTTAAAGATAGTCTCCTATCGACTGCGCTAACGCGGCCCCCTAAGGTAACCCAGTTAGTTTACTCACACACGTACATTTAGTATATGCAGCACATCAAATTAACACTTTTACAGCCACGATTGTTACTGCCTAGACCAAACACTTTCCTCATTCAAAAGCATTTGAGACGTTTACCTGGTAAGAAGATGGATACGGGATCCATGTTACTGTGATCTGACTGGAGCCAACAGCCCTGGATGTTAAGTTAACTGGAGGAACTGGCACTGCGACGGGTACCGCCAGAAAAAAAAAATTAAGCAAGTATATAATTCACACAACAGTAAGCTTCGAATACAAAAGACACGAGGAGCTTTTATAGCACTAGGGAATTTGTGGAAGTCGAAAAAATTTCAAACTGTTTAACTTAAATTTTTTAAATTCTAACGTCAAATCAGTACTGCTGTATGGAGCGGCAACTAAGGCAATTACTAATAAACTACAAACATTCATTAACTGTTGCCTACGTAGAACAGATGGAATTCAATCGTATGACATAATTACTAATGTAGAACTTTAGAAGAGACCTAAACAAGTTCCAGTGGACCAAGAGGTAAAGAAAAGACGCTGGCGTTGGATTGGACACACGCTGAGAAAGCCTGAGTGAGAACAATATAACTAAAATGTATATCCACTGGAACCCACAAGCGCATATGAACGAATGAAGAACCAAAAAAACAAAAAAAAAACCACATACATACACAGAAGAGAGCTAGAGAGTGAACCTAAAAAAAGATGCGGAGAACTGCATGCGATTTCAAAGGATAGAACGACTTGGCGTGAGCTAGATGAGGGCCTATGCTCCAATGGGGGGTGGGGGGGGGGGTGGGTTTAGAAAGGCAGAAGAAGAAGCTTCAGAGAAAATCAAGAAATCGATAGGACTAAATTACTATACCACTTGTCCAACAAGCAAAAGACAGAGAAAGATTACTGATTTTGGTTGCTAACACTTCCATTAATACACCTCCAGGATCCTAAAGACCAAGGGTTGTTATGTTATATTACGCTTCAGAAAGGGGACCGGGGGAGGGAGGGGGGGGGGGGGGCTGAGTGTTCTCAAGGAATGGTGTCCGCCTCGAGTGCTAGAGCTTCTGGATTCAATCCCTGGTAAGGGCTGGGATTTTTTCACGTGGGCTTGGACTTTTAGTAATTCCCCCTGGCCTCTGGGTAGTGAGATCGGACGCCCGTGTGCATTATTGCGCACGTAAAAAATCCCTTGGCAGTCGGAAATCGAAAAGAGTAGCCTAACGGCGCTGCCCGGACAAAATGTAGAGTTAAAAATCTACCCAAAGTATTTCAGGATCCTCGCTGGTACTACAGAGTCTGTGCGCTGTGCTGAGCTTCTTCGGACTCAGACTTGAGTTAGAAGAAAAACGGAGCACTTATGGGTTACTACCCGCGTGCCATGATGTTTATCCGTTGTTCAAACCTCAAACCTCATTGCGCTTCAGAACAAACTGGATGAGCTATTTACACAATGAATATTTTCATTGTAAAAGCGCGTATAAACATGTTTCACCCACTGCAAATACCAGTATCATCATCCCCCCTGTGGGGTGGACTAAGAAAAGACCAACTGCTCCCTAACAAGCATGTCGTAGAAGGCGACTAAGTAGGGGCTGTTTCCTTTGCCTGAGATGCAAGAAACCGACAGTCTCCATACAAATAAGCCAGCATCGACAGTATCTTCCAGTGTTGCCACTTTGGATGTTTTACATCCAGATTTAGATATTTCCCCTTGCATTTAGATGGTGTTTTTGACGTTTAGATGGTAAATGTTTTTCTATAAGTTTTTCATTTGGAGTTAGATATTTTATAAAAAAATTTTTTTCAGTGTCAGTTTAATAATTACTGATTAAAATATTTGTTACAATATTTGTGTTTTGGTCTGGCACGTTCATTGTGACAACTGGATTACTTAAACTTTGAACTCTCACTGGGGTCAACGCTGAAATATCTTTCAGTAATATTTCTACAAATAAATCTAGTTTATTATTAGACGAATCAAATAATATTTATGATTTGAAAGTGCTTGGTGTGTGTTTTATATATTACAGCAACAATACAGACAAAGTAGTTTCTACATAACTTGGACTAGTTTAATTGGAGAAGTGTGATGCAGAAAGTATAGTTCAGGAACTGAAGAAACTTTTAATCGGCAAACAATTAGACTTGAAGAATTTTGGTTGCAATTGGTATCGAAAATGCCCCGGTGATGGTTGGTATTAACAATGGCGTTTATGCCAAATGGAAGGAAAAATTATATCTTTAATCCTTATAAACTGTGTGTGTCATTACTTGCAGCTAGCATTATCACATGCTTCATTTGAATGTTTACCAAGGAATTTTGAATACCATATTGCTGAAACACATAACTGGTTTTCCAAATCATTTGTCAGAGACAACAGCAAGACAAATACATTATATACAGCCTTGAATGATGGTTCCCCACCAGTGAAAATTCTGTCAGATTGCAAAACTAGATAGTTATCAATTCAACAAGCTGTTGAAAGAATTGTGAACCAATGGTTGGAGTTAAAGACGCACTTTGAAATAGAAAGACAAAGTAAAAAAAGTGCTACACAGCTTAAATACTACATGAAATGTACAGTGATGAAAAAAACTGGCATTCCTTCTCTTTTTACAGCCTATTCTAATGGAAGTGCAAAAAGTTAATAAACTGTTCGAATCTAACCATGTTCAATTACTTGACGATCTCACATTGTTATTTCAATCAGTTAGTAAAAGATGGGTGTTGCCAACTTGTGAAGCTGATTTGCTTACTTGCTCTATAGAGATATATTCGGCTCATAAGCCATACCTTGGATATCAAATCGAATCAAAAATTGATGATTTAAAAACACAAGAACTGTTAACAAAGAATGAAAAGAACAATTTTAGAAAACGCTCTGAAAATTTCCTTATCTCATTATTCAAGCACCTGAAGCAGAGGCTTCCTGAAAATCTAGATGTATTGAAAAATATTTCACTCTTTTCTGTGAACAACATACTTCAGCCAGTAAAGGACATACCTAAATATTGTAAAGTTATGAAATTTTTCGGGGCTACTAATAATAGTGTCGTGGAAGCAGAATATTAGTTAACCAAAATAAACTTAGTTGAATGGACAAACAAAACAGAAACTGAAGCATTTTGAAGTGAAGTGAGACAATTTAAAGATGCCTCATCAAACAGTCCATTCTGTAAGCTCTTTGAATGTGCCATGTCTGTCATGATACTACCGCCACTCAAATGCTGACGTAAAAAGAGTTTTTAACGCTATGAATTATATCAAATCTAACCTAAGAAAAAGGATGAAACTTGACCTCTTAAATGCTATATTGACAATAAAATTCGGCCTAATAAGAGTATGAAAATGCTGTTCAACTTATTAGCTGGCTGATTGTGTATTAAAAGAAACTGGAACAGCTAAAGCATACCAGAGTCATTTTGGACCTGAAACTTCAACTTCAGCATCTAAACTAAGTTTATCCTGTGGATCTTGTAAGGCAGACTTCAGTAAAGATGAGGACATGATTCTATAGGGTAAGTCATATCAATAGCTATGTAATTTGTGACTCTTTCTATTTGGATTTTTTATAGATGTTTCCCTCGCAAATTTAGAGGTTTTAAGATACTCTTTGACTCCGGTTTGGATGTTTTTATTAAAGAAAAGTTGCAACACTGGTATCCTCATCATCATAGTCATCAGCATTATCATCATCATTATTATTCATCTTCATCATCATTACTATTGTCAACATCATTATCATCATTATCGTCAACATCACTATCAACATCACTATCAACATCACCATCAGGATTATCGTCAACATCATTATCATCAATATCATCATTATCATCATTATCACCATCATCGTCATCATCATTGTCAACATAAATATTATCATTATCGTCAACGTCAGTACCAACATCACCATCAGAATTGTGAACATCAACATCATCCTCACCATCATCACCATCATCATCGTCAACATCATTGTTATCATTCATCATCATCATCACCAATATCATTATAGTGAAAATCATTATCATAATTGGCATCAGCATCATCATCATCCTAATATCATCATCATCATTATCCATCATCATCATCACCATCATCATTATAGTCAACATTATTATCATCCCTAGCATCGTCATCATCGCCAATATCATCATCATCACCATTATCGTTATCGTCAAGATCACCATGTCATTGTCGTCAACATCATCATTATCATCATCATTCATCACCAAAATGAAGTGTCTTGCCGACTCTCGTGGGCGATCATGCCACTCCACAATCTGCGATCTTCAACAATATATATCAGTTCCTGTGCTGACAACCTTTCTTGCCTTGACAAATGGCTGTCAAGAATCCTCTCGCGTTGAGGTTCTCTGTCTCTTTTTCCACAGATCTTTCCAGTTTTGATAACAACGTGTTCCAGTTCCCGTCTTCTCATAATATAACCAGAAATGATGAATGTCTCTTTTCTATGGTTGTGATAAGTTGCTTTCGAGCTCTCACTTCTTTCAGAACATATGGGTTGCTCTTTTCAGCGGTGCAGAGAGTCAAAGAATTCTTCTGCAAAACCACATTTCTGATGCCTTAAGAAATTGTTGGCTTGTTTACTGATTCTCGGGGATTCTCAACCATTTATTAAAATTGGTTTTATATTTAAAACGGACTATATGTTAGACTTCCTTGTAGCAACATACGGATGTGAGTCGTGGACTATCTCCCAGTCCTTAAGAAAGAGAATGGGGGCTTTTGAGCTAAAATGCTATAGAAAGATTCTCAGAATATCTTGGACGAAAAAGAAGATAAATACTGACATCTTGAAAGATCTGATCATCAAGGAAGAACAGCATCATGTCTCGGAAGCGCTACGACGAATTGGAAAAAAATTATAGCAGAAGTCACGGTACCAGGAAGGAGGGGCAGGATATAAAAGACTCCTTGAGCATACAAGTGCATGAGGCGGGAGAGCTGGCGGGAGACCGAGTTTCTTTCAGGCAGACCGTGACGAAAGCGACGTTCTACAAAGGACCTGCTACATGATGATGATATATTAGACTAAACTACAAACTCACAAGTGGAAGCAATCAAAGTATCCGAAGGTGGACTTCTTGCCCCCGCTGTAACTGCCACGACGTAGATCTGATAACTGTAGCCGGGGTCAAGGTTGGTCAGGTTAAAGGCCACTTGACTGTCTGAGTATTTCGTCTGCCAGTTTGAGTTTTCTCTCATAAAATGTATCTTTATTTGAAGAGAAATCAATCACTAAGTTTAATATTAACACATATATTGACAATCTAAGTAACAGTTGTGATAATACTCAAGTTAAAAACTAAGACTAAATAAATTAAAGTTTGTTAAAGAAATTAAAAATGAACAATGTTCTATGCAACATTTCTTTGCCACTTAAACAATGAAGATAATTCCCAAGAGCTATATAAATCGTATCCTAATATACGGAAGTGTACCATGGGCAGCTGAGCGATTAGTAACAAATATTACGTGTAAAGAACATCATCGACAGTTGAAAAGTTGAAAGAGAAAAAAAAGGGCGGATGGAGACCGACGGTCCAGTTGCTGGGCAGATGGACATTCGGCATGGAATTTCAATTGTGTCTTAATTGATCGAAAATGCCAAAGACAGAAAGTTCTGGCTAGATTTTACCATCAACGCCGCACGAAATAGACTGCAACAAGAGTGAAAGAAATTAGGATGGTACAGTAAGACTTCGGTAACACAAACACTGTTACCAGAGTCGACAATGCTTACCTCGTGGCTTTCATATCTAAAGCCGTGTGTGGATGTCCATTGTAAAACGAGGAAGTTGCTGCCACTTGTTGTCACGGCTAGAGCCTCAGCTTTCAGAGGCACTGGAATCCAGACAGTGGATATTTTTTTTTAATACTTGTAAGTGATTTTGACATAAATCAACAAACACGATTTTATAAAAATATTATTATATTATAAATACCAAACTAAAATATTTTAACTGTTTCACCGCAGTCACGTGCTGACCAAAGCAATTTCAAATTTTAGTCATACCCATGTGGAATGCAATTTTTCGTTATTTGAAACCCCACCTTGGCTTTCGCTGAGGGCCCTGAATATAGCCGGGCCATAAAAATGGCCTAACGGCTGAAAGTTGTTTATTTTAACCTCGTCACGGGTGATCCTCGTCCGCATGGTGGCACTTTGTGTCACCGGGTGTTTATCGCTTGTGTGATGTCCTAGTTGGGTACAACAAGAGACTGAGAGAGAGAGAGAGAGTGAGTGAGAGAGAGAGAGAGAGAGAGAGAGAGAGAGAGAGAGAGAGAGAGAGAGAGAGAGTTCACATTTATTATAAATTCCGTCTGATGTATTTTAATATTTTAAAAATAAAATTTGAGCCAAGGCCTCTCACTCAGTATTTGAAAAAGAAAATTTGAGTTTTTGAATTACAATTTTACAGAAAAATCCTTAGAAAACCGTAGACCAAATGGAAAACGTGGATATCCTGCATGGCCTAAACATCAAGGAGAACTGGCTCATAAACAGTGTCCTCTCCCGAAAGCTGAGGTGTATTGGCCATGTCAAGCGTCATGGTGGTCTGGAGAGAACGGTGATGAAGGGTATGCTTTCCGGAAAACGATGCAGAGGCCCCCTTGGATAAAGGTCTTGTAGGTACTTTGGTAATGAAAGCCTACAGAGCTGCAGAATTGGCTAGAGTAAGAAAGACTCTCTGGCGTGCTGTGAAGAGTAGAACGTTCTGAACACGACATGCTGATTGACTGACTGAAAACAAGACGTGTTGGGAAATAAACAGGCAGACAGATTGGGTGGCGCTGAACCACTCGGTGGTAACTTAAATATCTATTTTTTTTTTCTCTCCAAAAATGACCTTGGTTCCCAGATCGACCCAGCTTTGAGTGGGCACCTTCGATAAGTCTCAGGAAGTAAAGACGGTCGGCATGATGTTGACCACATCAGCCACTAAGTGCCGATCGGTCTATAAAATACAGGTCTGGCCCTATATACCCATACGCTTAAAGGTGGTGAAAGGGGTCCTTTACAGTCTATTCCATAACTAGAAGAATTGACTTGCGCTTATCTTGGGTGTGAGCAGGGTCACCTTTTACCTACCTGTGGCAATCTCTTGCTGAAAGATTATGTTTGCTGCCTTGGTCTCGTTCTCGAACACCTCTACGATGTACCTGCTGCCAGGTACCAGGTTATCGTAGACAACCGACAGGCTGCTGCCACTGTAGGGCCCCGGAAGGTGAAAATCCTTCCAGAAAATTCCTTGCGACAGCCGAAAGGAAACTGTATAGTTGAGGGCAGCAGGGTTGGCTGAGAAGGTCAAACTCAGACTGTATTCCGATGAGGTCAGGTTTACACCTGAGATCTGAGCTTGGTTGGGTACTGTGACGCAAACCTGTAGTTGGAACACACAAAGAAATTTCTTTTTAGGGCGTTTATATCAATTTTTGTGTTCTTAATTAGATGGGAGGAGAGAGAGAGAGAGAGAGTGAGAGAGAGAAGAATGAAAAGAGAGAGGACAGACAGACAAACAGACAGATAGAAAGATAGGTTTAAAAACAACAATTGATTGAGAGGGCACTGAACATAAGCGTCATGCAATTGTTGAAGGAAATTTACCATATTAAGTAACTGGTCAAGAGCATTCGTGTTTCGGTTTTTAAAGCCAGTGTGGGAATCTACATTCAGACTGATTACTGATTTAAGAATCGACATCATAGCACACAGGGCATACCCCTAGAAGCTCCGTCTCCCGCAGCAAATGGGATAAGGTGTAGATGCTAACCGCTCCCGTAGATTATACACATGCTGATCTCTTCCTCTCACCTGTCCCTTCTTCCCGGATCCATACTTACTCGTCCACACATTCTTGCGCTCGTTATTTTATCTAATCTCGTGTCTTCTGCTAAAAGTCGTTCGTCTATGGCCTTTAGAATATCTCCCTTGTCCAATACAAGTTTTTCCATAGCTTTCGCTTCTGTAGCCAACAAATCCGCTCTTTCATTCCCTCGTACTCATACATAACCTGGACAGTATATCCCCGTGATTCCCTGCACTGTCAGCGTACTGATGCATGGTATCCACTCTTGCCACATTAATCCATTTAGAACCTTCTACAATTTCGACTGAGAATCAGACACAAGTAATTCCTTAACCTGTGGTTAACATGTTCTCAACATCACGCCGGCCAGCTTTACTTCCACGACATTACCTGGTATCTTTTAAAGGCTGAATCAACCTGAAGACCATTGTAATTTTTTTTAGGGGGTCAAGTTGTCTTTCGTGTCTTTTGTCGAAGTTTAACATTCCAGTTCCTCTTATGCTCAAGTTTTTCTGATTCAGTTTTTTTTTTTTCGAAGTATTGTGTGACATTTTTCTTAACGCATTTTTTCCTGTGTGGGTTCCAGGGTCCCACTGTGGAGAAACAACAAAATAGACCAACTGACTCCCCATAATGCATGTCGTTGAAGTCGACTAAATGGAACACCCTTAGAAATCAATACAAACTACCTTGTTTAAGGTGGCAAGAAGCCAGGAGTCAGCATGCAAATAAGCCAGATCTGTAAAACGGATGTGCATGCACAATTCCAGTTCTAGAGCAATGCTAAAGTCCAGAAGTAGACAAATAACCAGAACTTTCCACGGGAGCTTACAGCCGGTGAATGTGAAAAAGAAAATGTCCATTGTATGTCCAACGTTTATAATTGTTTCTGTCCTTTTGTAAATTGCTATTTGAGTTTAGGTTTTCAATATGAGCGAGCAGAGGGGCTACGTGGTCTGGAGGCATGGTGTCCGCCTCGAGTGCTAGAGGTCCCGAGGTTCAATCCATAGTGAAGGCTGAGATTTTTTTCACGTGGACATCTAGTAATTTCTCCTGGTTTCTGGGAAGAGAGACCAGACTACCGTGTTTATTGTTGCGGACGTACAAAATCCCTTGGCAGTTGGAAATCGAAAAGAGTAGCCTAAAGACGCTGTCCGGACAAAATTTAGAGATAAAAACCTAACCAAACTATTTCAGGATCCTCGTAGGTGTAACAGAGTTCGTGCACTGCGCTGAGATTCTTCAGACTTAAGCTTGAGTTAAAAGAAGAATTTGGTGCTTCCCTCCTCACCCCCTATCCCCCAAAACCCAGAAAAGAAATTCGGCAACATTGCACAGAGATTGAAATATCTCGCTTCATCCATTCCCTTCTGTCGTGCGCCATCTTTTTGATTAAACCTACATTTCTACACAATAATAATTTTGAGTGAACATTTGTAATAAATCTAGGGAAGATATACCAAATGTTTAACATGCGGAGATAGAGATTAAAAAATAGAGGGGGGGGGGGGGGGGGTGGGTGTAGAGGAGGTCAAATGATGGATACTTTTGTGTTTTGCCAAAGGGTTAATGACAGTAAACAGCCAAATCTAATTACAGATCGGTAACACTTGCGACCCAGGCACATGTGTGGATCACGTTCACACAGGACCCCCATCAATCAATGTCTCGTTCGCTCCCTTGGACCGATTCATTTGTGACAGCGTGCTAATATTTCTCGGCTTGGGACCCCACCATGTTCAGCGTCGTGATCGACTACACACTTGGCGACTACTCATATTGTCAAAATTCATTAACTAGAAGCCATACAAGTTAAAGGATCTTTGTCCACGTCTTCAGGCGTAGTTGGTATATATAGGGCTAGACTTACATTGTATAAACCAACGTGGTCAACATCACACCAGCCGCCTTTACTTCCCATCAGTTTACCTGGTACCCATTTGAGGCTGGGTCGACATGTGAGCCCAGATCTTTTTTTTTTAAACAGTTCGGCTCCACAAGGATCTGAACCTACAACCTTCGGACCGCAGGCCAGCGCCTAGCAGCTGCAGCACGGAAGTTCCCCTGTATAGAGATATCTTTTACTTCGTGCAGAGTGGAAAGGTCACGGGTAGTGAGCATACTTTGGATATTTTCTCCAGGTCTGTCGGCGTAGTGGGTAATGAACAGACAGACAGACTGGCTGCATCTGCACCACTGGGTGGTGAATTGATACATGACAATGCAGATGTTGTCAAGGCCTTTTGGGAACAAGCAACAGAATCAGTAGAGAAACAAGATTAATATGGCCTGGAAGGAATGAGACACCTGGTTGTAATTAGAGGGTCTGGCCAGCTCACTACACACAGGGGAAAGGCAAGATGGACATATAACCAGATTGTGACCGGTACAATAAGTACTTGAACTCTGTACTGGCTGCTGAAGATGGGGACGGAGCACGCATGGGACTCAACTTAACTTAACTCAAAAGATACCTTTTATTCTAATTTCTTAGTTTGTCTATGTTATAGTTTTCTAACCGACATCAGTGTCTTTTCTTCACCTTTTAGTTTACTGGAACTTGTTTTGTTCTCTTCTAAAGCTTTACATTATTGATCCTATCATACCATTTGACTCCATCAATTCTGCGCAAGCACCAGTTGACGAATGTTTGTAGTTTATTGGTAATTGTCTTGGTTGTTCTGGATGTTTCCGCTCCATACAACAGTACTGATTTGACATTAGAATTAGGTATTTTAAGTTTACTTTTTAAAAATAAATGTTTGGCTCTACAAATTCCCTAGTGCTATGGAAGCTCATCGTGCTTTTTGTTTTCGTATTTTTATATCTCCATCAGTTCCCCATTTGTATCTACATTACTGAACATATAGGTGTACGACTCGACCTCTTGGAGTGGGGTACCAATTAAAGAAACCACATTACTACTGGTGTACAACAACATTCCAAAATTCCTCATAGTGACGGTCTATGTAAACTATCAAAAGCCTCCTGAAAGTCAATGGAATTCAAAATGAGGTTGTTATTCAATATATA